TGTAGTTAATTATCATGGTCCTGATTTCTTTTGTAATTGTAAATTTTTTAATTTGTAAAAAAATTAGAGTGTCCTTCAAAAGAAATTTACAATAAAATTTGGTTAAAAATAGACAGTTACCTTTGCTTGGATTGTTTCTGAAGAGTAACTGGGTATCGAGATGGCTGATTTCGGTCCGTAACACACAGTTTGCACATCTGAAAACCTCAATGCCTCTTTTACAGTTAAAATTTTATTAATTTCTAGATTATTTTGTCACGCACCAGAGCTGTAAGCATAGACCTGAATGAAGCAGCCAGCAACGATCTGTTGTAGAAACAAGCAGAGGAGGGCTGCATTTTCTGTTACCTCTACTGGAGGATGTGCTGCTACATTTTACCATTAATCCCTTATTTTATGACCAAAGACACAAAATTCAGACTGTGGATAAAGCCAACCTGAGGCCTGATTTGGGACGGGTTTGCAGCAGCAGAAATCCTCTGCTGGGGGAAAGGGAGCTGGAGAGAGCTGGAGAGAGCTTTTCCCTCAGTACCTGAGCTGCAGGATGAGCCGGAGCCTGTTGTGGCAGGAGAGCTGGCACGCAGCCAGAGCTTAGTGTGAGCAACCTCTCGAACTGGAGCAGCAGACAGAAAGGAGATTAGAATGTGGGAATAAATGACGTGAATGTAACTCAAATGGCTGCACAGAGCTGCCCATGGGCCGTGAAACACAACCCTGCACCCAGCACCCCTCGCAGGGACACGGCCCGCACCTGGCACCCCTCACGGGGACACGGCCGGCGCCTGGCACCCCTCGCAGCCAGCTCCCCAGCCAACGCCCAGCCACGCTGCTGCCGTGTACGGCACAATGTCCACAGCTCAGGGCACAGCAGCGGCTTTGGCACAGATAACAGCTGCACTAAAACCACCAGGTAAGCCTGACAGCAGAGACAGGTGAGCAACACGCACGCTACGGTGTCATGGGCCAAGCCTAACCATGGGCTCAGTTTACAAAAGCCAGCAGAGAAGTCAGTTTATGGTGCTGGGATCATAACTTCCTTCTGGGAAAAGGAACAAGGTTTCCAGCAATAACCTGGGCCAATGTGCCCCAGGAAATCTCTCTGTCACTCAAAGGGCAACGGGAGCTCTACCTCCAGCCAAGGGTCCCTGCTCCCTCTTTGTGCGTCCAGGAACAGAGGGGTGAGGTGATGTGGAGCCCCACCTCTGATGAAGCTGTGACTCTCATCACACAATTCATTTAACAGCGCTACCGAGAAAATCCCAGGCTCACTTGGGTTTCCTGATGCCATTTCACAGAGCCACTTGGAGATAGGGGTACGGGACTGTCACAGCCCTGTGCTCGGCTGCAGGGGAACCTGGCCCTTCCCAGTGTCAGGAATTTGTCTCAGACAGCACCATGACCGCTTGCCTGTGGGCGTCCAGCAGCTCCCGTCTGCACCAGTTCACTTTTTAAACACCTAAAGCTGTTAACCTCCAACAGATAGAAGCAAAGTAAAAAAATATTTTTTTTTTTTTTCCAAATCTGGATGTTATCAGACGCAGCAACTAACAGGCTTCTTGTTCACTGCTAACTAATTTAATCTGCTGACACTGGGAAAAAAAAAAAATCAGTCTGATCATAAAGCATATATGGGAGGTGTACAAAGACCAAGACACAGTTAAAAACCACATCCTGCCAGCAGATGAGAATAAACCCCGCAGCGCAAAGAGACAGAGTTTAGGAAGCAGTTCGCCCTCATTTACTTACACGCTCTTTTGAAGACAGTGCGTGAAACATTCCCACGTAACAGAAATGTTCTGCATACACGTCCTTCTCCTGGCTGTCACTGCATCAGTGGTTTCCCGGGGTTGGGTGCAGGGACATTAATTTCCCCTGAGAGGTGGCAGTCATTTGTGACGGGCAGCCTCTAACCAGCTCCTGACCAGGAATATAACTGGGCAGGTGTCAATCTCCTGGGTTTTTTCCCACAGGTAAAAAAGGGGGAAGGAGGCTATCTAAGCTGCTCAGACCATTCATTGCAGGTTAGAAAAAAAAAACATTAATCTCATGGATGCGCAGAGAAATCACAAGCCCTTTGTAATCAGCGCGCAGCTGTAGGGTAACGTGTGAAAGGCCTTCAGCAACGCAATTCTCCACCTTCCAATTCCAGTGTCTAAAATGCTTTAACCTAATGAGAGTGACCAAGATATAAAAATGGTTTTACCTTCTGTACAGCATTAGATGCATCAGAAACTTGAAAGAGGGTTTGCTTTGGTTTTTTTTTTAAATAAAAGTTATTTCTAATGACAGACAGCAGCTGTAAATCAGCAAAGCAGTACCAAACAAGCACAGTGAGTACAGGAAATGTACAAAGCTGAATATAAAGTCATTGATGAATAATATCAGACAATTAGTAAAAGGAACACTTCTTATACTAGATTAGTAAAAACATCAAAAATGCATCTACATCAGAACCAGAAATGTTTTACATCCCAGCCTGCTCTCCCAGCCCCGCACACTTGCTTTACATCTGGCACTAGGAGGAATGAATCATGTTAGGAATTCCTGAGTTTAAATAAGACAAAAACCTAAATACTGCCCTAGGGATAGCTCGACTCCTTTATGATGAGAAGCATGTAGAACAGTCTCCTGCTTGCAAATTCTATTCAAGAAGTGAGGAAGGTCAAAGTCCAGGAGAGTGCTGCCGCGTGCTCCTGGAGCTCAGAGGTGTGTTCAACCTCCCCCTTCGAAACAAACGGGGGGTGATTAGTGCCACTGCTGTTCATACTTTCCAGTGCCTCAAAAATTACTTAAAAAATAATCCAAGAGTTCTTGTTTGTCTAAAAATAACTGCACAAAGTATTCCATCATATGGGCAGAGTAAAATTATCAGAGATGGAAAATGATTTGCAGTGATACAGAATTACCTGAGTGGTTCTCTAGTTAGTTAAGCATGTGTAACAACTACTCACTCTATAATCCGTGTGCGACATGACAAATTGTAAAAAAGAGTGTGTGAAATTCAAAGGACAGGTCATATGCAGAACTTTCTCGTGCCTGTACATATTCACCGTAATTGAGAAAGCTTTATCATCTGGCTCATAGCAAAGGAGATCTGACATTCCAGACTGAATGTATAATGTTCATATCATGAAGTGTATAAAATAAAATGGAGCTATTATCTTAGACTTTTAATATTTTACTATGCGATACTAAAACCATCTGTCTTCCAACACAAAAAGAAAATACAAATCCAACTGAATGGCTTGTCAGAGTAACAGTACTTCACAGCAATAGACTATTCATGTAATACTATGGTCTTCCCCAAACTGTTGGCATTTCGGATACCGAGAGTATTTTTCTTTTGTATTGCACAGACTCAAACGCAGAGACAGCCATTTTCATACACTGGAGTAGGAAAACTTCCACGATTATATGAATAAAATAGATACATTGTCAATCAGATAAAGCTTTACAAGAATTTCCCCATGTGTCCAAAATTATTTCCTTTATCAAAGGCTTAACGGTGATGCGATTACCTCTTCTGAGGAACATGTTTTACATCAGCTTGTGCCCAAATACAAAACAAAACAAAAAGCACCACTTATGTAAAACAAAAATGACCACTGCGAAGACAGCAGGTTTTATAAGGGATGCTAAATTCTTGAGACCTGTCTCAGAAAATCAGCATGACCGTACCCTTTAACCCTCTCACTGCCCTTCTGCACTTGGTGACCCCTCAGCCCATGTCACGGCCCCGTTAATGTCCTCTCGTACCCGCGAACGGTTCCCATCAAAAGCGGGATAGAGATGGTGGTTTTTCAGACAGGCTGAAGGAGCTGAGTGCTTGCAGAGCAGGATGAAACCCCCGGTGCTGCAAGGCAGCAATGAGCACTGGCCACGTCCCGTGGTGGCAGCTGCCAGGCGCTGGCCTCCCAGCACCAAGCACTGGGCTCAGCTCGGAGGCTGGTTCCTGCCCGCACGGCCAAGCGCTGCGGCTCCCAGCTCCCTGCGCTCTGGCCACCTTGCCAGCACACTGGCATTGACCTTGAACTCATGAGCTGGGACCTTTGAAACCCCAATTTTTTTTTTTGTTTTGTTTTTAATAATCAACTAAGATATTGTTACATCCCATTCATATACTGCCATGTGTAATATTTCGATATAATAATAACATACACATATAAGAACTAGGATACTCTTTATGACCTCTATTTTGTGATGTATTTAACAAAATTTAAAAACAAAAACCCAAAAAAGAAAATCAATTGCTGGTGTTTCCAGTTTCCCAACAGAGATGCAGGACCAAACCCTGAGCAACTGCTCCGTGCTATGGTTTTGTTGCAGCAAGGAATTACAACAATTCTGCACCCGAGAGGTCCCTGTCACCTCTCAGGGTCAGTGTACTTAGGGAGGGAAATTAAAAATCTGCAACAAAGGCTCATCCAACAGGATAACCTAGGTGAATGTCTGTATTTCAAGACAGGACAAACTCGGAGCCTAATGGACTCATTCAGTGCAGCCACAGGTCTGGGCTTGTTTGCTGCACATGTGAAAGCAAAATATTGTAGCTACATGTGTAATGTGAGAAAAAATGAACACCAGTCCCTCAGGCAGGAAAAAAACCACTAGTACAGTGTGCCGTGTCATGCTCCCGGCTGTGCTAAGGACTGAGAATACCAGGAAAGGAGTAACTTCTGCGTCAGTAGTACTATCTGAAAAGCTACGTGTGGAAAACCAAACCCAAGCCCAAACCCAAGTACCCTCGTGCTTTGGTCAGTGCAAGAGTCCCGGGGTTTTCAGGGGCAGGGAGTGAGGAAGCAGTTGCAGGCACCAGGACAACGGGGGACTCTGAACCCTGGGCAAAAAGCACTCGTGTGTGAATTGCAGCATGGTGATGGTCCTGCAGCTATCCTGGCTCAGCCTTCCATAAAAGAAATGCTTGGCTTTATGCTGGCTCAAAACAAACCAAAAAACCCCTCTGCCAACTCCAAAGGGACACCAAAAGGCCATTGGGAGTGTTACTCAAAGGTTTCCCATCGCTTTCTGAGCTGTTCAACCTTACCTGGTGTGGATGACACGTCTTGCTTTGTCTTTTTTAACAAATCTTCAAAGGGATCTTTTGTCTCCTCAGATTTTGAGGACAGTAACACTGACTCTAAGCCCTTCGCTGGCCTGGAAGGGATCAAAGGGGGTTCGTTAGACAGGAGAGCTAGTGCTTGTTTGGGATCTACCTTTGAGCTGGACTGGCCCACCTGTAATGTTCTGGTTTTAGAAAGCCCACTGACACATCCTGGCTGTAGAGAGCTGCTCGGAGAAGGGCTGTGGCTCTGCAGCAACAGGGAGCCGGCGGGTGGCACGGCTGGAGCCTGGCTGAAGAGGTTTGGCATGGAGAGTGTTGAAATGTTTGGCTGAGGTCTTTGGGGGGGGTAGAAGCTAGAATTAGGTGTTATGAAGCTCGAGCTATAAGCATGACCTAAGGAGGGGGTGAAAGAGCCCCTTGGGGGTCTAACTAGAGACACCGAAAGGGCTCCTGGCACTGTTTGTGTGAATGGATTAGGAGATGGCTGCAGAAACGGCGCTGGTGCTGGGGAAGGGTAACCAAGCGGCTGGACAAACGGTGCAGCTGGAGGAGGCACAAAGTCACTTGCCCCCGAGACAAAGCCAGCTGCAGAAGGGGGAGTGGCTGAGCTTTGCAGGCTGCGGGGACCGTGCTGTGGGCCACTGCTTTGCCAGGTGGCTGTTTTTAACGGATCCAGGAGGTTAAGAAGGTAGTCACTTTCGTTACCTGTGTTATCTGTCTTCACTTTGACAGGCTGGAGCATCTCAGCAGTGCTGGCAGCACCAGACAAAAGCTGAGATGGATGAGAGGGATAATTTACAGACTGATGGATTTCAGGGTCTAAGGACACACTACCAACTCCAAAGGGCTCTGGGATAAGATCTGAAACCAAATGGCCATGTGCTGCAGCGTGGGTGGGGAGAATTTCTGTGGGCCCAGCTGGAGCCTGATGCTTAGAAGCCCTGGGTGCTGGTGGTGGCGGCACTATTCCCAGTTCAGGAGTCTTTCTTCCCTGCGGCCTAGGAATGGTGATGTTCCCTTGAATGGCCGGACTGGATTCATCCTTTTCTGCAGGAGCCAGAATGCTGTCTCTGCTCCGGGGTCTCCTTGTGATCGGCGGCATGTTAACAAGTGCAGTCGAGGGCCTTTCGGGGGAGCTTTGGGAATACTTGGTAGGAATAGCCATGTCATCGTGACCCATACTCCACAGCTTGTTGTAAGCGTGGGACAGCTTCACGGCTGGCACAATCCTGTTCCTCTCAGACACACCGAGATCCATTCTCTGCAAGAAAGCATTACAAAAATGTGAACCTGGACTGATCTCCTCACAACACAGAGCATGCAGGGAAGACAGGCTGCTGAGCTGTGAGCGGGAGAGGATCCATCCACAGACTGTGAACACTGGCGAGGGACAGCAGCACGCCGCCGGGAAGGACGGACAGGAAATCAGAAGCAGGACTCTGCAGTTTGAATTCCAGCTCTGGCTCTAACGAGTTGCTCAGCTGTGACACATTGTGGCATCTGTTGCCAGCCAAGGAAGGAGCACGTCCCTGTATCTAAGGTAGAGGAATCGAGAAGCCTTAACTGCTGTATGGAAAAAGCTGTCAAATTAAATATCTGGATATAACACTAAATTAAATATTATTATAAGGTAGAAATGACATTATTTTCTTTCATGTCACATGAAGATCTTAAGAGTCTGCTTTAGGCTGGCACTTTGTAAGCTGCCCATATGCAGTGAAGTTCTTTATAAAGAATCTCTCTCCTACAATCTGGATCATTCAAATGATGCCTAGACCAAAATGACCAGATTAAAAGAAGGTCATTAAAAAAACATGCAGTTTAGAGGGGACCCGAAAATTCCCAGATACTCATTCTCATTGCTGAGCATCTGCTTCCAAGATAACTTTGTGTGACAGCCAAGGGACAAAACAGATTCTGAGGAATAGGGCAAATATTTCCTCCATAAAAAGTAAAGACTGTAGTTTAGTGAAAAAAGTTACTGTCTTATAAGTGAGTCCCATTCCAATAATTTCTTAATTCAGAGATGATTTTTGAAATGCATGAACAAATGCCTGGGAAATGGATGCATCTACTCAATAATATGAACGTGTTCCTCAGAGAAAAATGGAAGACAGCCAGCCCTAGTTCTGTGCAAAAGCCCCAGCGTACACGAAACCCTGTGCAAACCTGGTAATCAAACGTGCATCGCTGATCGCCCTCCTCTTTGGGAGTCCGCAGGTCTTCGAGGCTCTTAGCTTGGCTGAGAGGCTGAGGCTGTGTTTCTACTTCTAGGTTAGGGAAAATGTCTTCAAGGAGGTTGATTTCTGTGTTCTTGCTTGTGAGCAGAGGGCTTGGAGGCAAATCTTTTGATTTTTCTGGACTGACTGCCTCTTCCCCATCAGCACTGTCAGATTCCTTCAGGGCCCGGTAGGGCTGAGGCCTAAGAGAGAAACAAAAATCACGTTGCAAATGACTGGCTTTCTAATTTTTTTTTTTTTTTAAACAAGTATTTACAAAGGGGCTGGATGGTTTTACAAAAAGCTTTGGGTGGCAAAATACAGCTGAGATTGCCTTGTGAAGAGCAGGCGTGTGAGCAAAGTGACGAGGGCAGGACACACAGGGAGTACTCGGAGGAAAGCTGTGATCATGCAGTTACAGACAGGCTGGGGAGGGGACTCTCGGAGCAGGAATTCACGGATGCTTGCTCTCCCCCCGAGGCAGACCACCGCACCTGTGCTCGGCCCTTTCACACCAGAACGCGGAGCAAGCGCCCTGCTCAGTGCCCTGCGCTCTGCAGACACGTTCTCTTGCTTCAAGCTAACTCAGCACAGAGCATAATTCCGTGTTTTCCTGCAATAATTGGGAACACTGTGCAGAGTTCCAATGATTACACTGGTGTCATCTTATCAAGAAACAACACAATCCATTATGGAGACACCTCTTTTACATTTACAGCCCAGGCCGAGTTTGCGTGATGCTTTTCTCGCACATACCTCGGCAAAAAAATGAGCACCAGCAGATTTGCATATCGGCTCTGTACAGAGAGCAGCAGCATAATGCACATCCAATTAATACCAAGAAGTGCCACACGCATCTGTGGTGATTGGCATTTGACTGGCAGCCAGCTTTACTGTGGCATTTAAACAAGGTTTCAATTAAAAGAAAATATTTGTGAGACCTGCAAAAACAGATACTATGGAAGAACCCTCCTCCTCTTTCCACATTTCATTATAATACATCTGTATCGTGCAGATCTGACTTCACCCATCACCACACAAACAGCAGGCACCCAGCCAGCGGCACAAGGACGCAGTAACACAAGTACAAGACAGACAGCCGATGGTACGCGTCCTCAGGAAGAGGGTGATCTTTTACATCTCGCTCGTATCTTTAGTCTCTCACATAGCACCTGCTCATCCGCCAGCCACTAGATCACACCGCAAAACACCTCTGAGGAATATTCTGCAAACAAACCATTGTCCTGGCCTGGCCTCCATCCCGAACACAAGAGTGTGGGAACATTTCTCTGGTCCTTTGCTACTGGACCCATGTGTCTGTCTCCCCGCGTCCAGCTGCCCGCAGCCACGTCCCCTCCCTCCTGCCTCACACCATGAATTTGAGCAGCTGGAGACTCCACTAGCAAACCCACAGCCGCCTCCTCCAGCCTGGTCTGCCACCACAGCAGCGGCAGGCTCCGCTGCACCTCCCTCCACCCGACAGCGCTCCTCTCATCTCAAAGAGCCGCGCTCGGGCCCGGGGAAGGCTGGCCAGGCAAAGGGCTGCCAGGGTACCTGGGGCAGGTGGCAGAACCCTGCAGCTTCACCAAATCGGTGTCACACACTGCGAGACGGCCAAGCTGCTCGGCACTGCGCTTCAAAACCAGGCAAGACTGTGTTACAGAGGTTTGGGAATTTACAACAACTTACAAATTAAAAAGCTGAACACAAATAACACAGGGAGCAAACCCAACAAACGCTTGCTGGTTCTTGTGTATGTTTAGGTGGTATTGCACCCCAAGCCCTTGGAGGACACCTGCACAGCAGCTTCCCGCAGTCACCGAGGATGTGGCATTGACAGAACAGAGAGGCTGAGAAACCAGAAAAAGCTGATAACTGCACTGGAATAAGCACAGCTCGCACTGCACAAGGAAGAATGGCAGGAGGCTTGGACAGGAACACAAGCAGCACATCGCAACAGAGGGCAGGTGGAAGGGTTACATCCCATGGAGCTTGAGTCGATGTAAAACCAAAAGCTGTGCATTGCTGCATAGTGCTTCATGCAGGAGGACGCTTTTGCATGCCGCTAAATACCACAACAAACAAGCAGGAGAAATGCTGAACATTCGTCAAGCACCGTACAGAGGCTGCAGGAGCATTTCCAAAATTCCGAGTACAGGCAGGCACCCTGACCGATCAAACCCCATTGTTCCAAGACCGAAATAATACAATGAAAGAATAAAGGATAGACCATTCAAAAGGAGCAGAGAAGAAAAAGTTTTCAGAGAAGCCAGAGACAGGATCCTCTTCCTGCTAATCATCAGAAGAGTCCTCAGAGAGGAAGACTGTATAGTGTCGCATGGGCTTTACCAGGCTGAGGGAAACAGGAAGAGAAAAGGAAGTTATCAAGTTGTCACATTCAGCGCTCCCGAGGAGAGAGAAACCAAATGATTCACAGGCTCTGCATCAATTCTGACCTGACTGACTGCCACCGCAAAGAGCTCTGCAGGTAAAAGCTGAGCTCTGCTTTTCAGACAGAAATACACCTCTCCTAAAGATGTCCATGCAGTCAGGAAGGGTACGAGGCCCCACAATCACCCCAAACTGCAAACGAAGCCAACAGAGAACCCCACCTTTCCCCCACTCCATTTTCTAGAGCTGGGTGTCTTTCTGTTCTTCAGAAACACAGCTTTGCTCCTCGGATTCTCTGAGCTCTGACTACAAACAAACAAATATTCCATCTACCTTTCTGCTTCACAGCTGTTTAGACTGAGTCTCTACCTGAGGGGGCTGTAACAATTCCTTTTGAGATCTGAAATTGCTTCACACTGGAATAAAACCAAAGCTGGCCAAGGATGCACATGAAATGCAGTTTGTCCAGTAAGTGTGGATGTTTCTTGCGTCAATGGTTAACTACTTTCAAAGCCTGGCAGAAAAGGGTCAAGCTCATTTCTCCTGCATCACAGGATAGTAACGATCAACCCATGAATTCGCTAGCAGCAGCCTGGAGCACAGATCCTTTCATTTTGCTACTGCCGAGGTCCAGAGTAAATTTCTTATTTCAGTGTAAGCAGAATCAGGCTCATGATGTGTAACAAAGGACAGGTCCAGATCCTGGAGACAGCGTAGAGCAACGCAAACGTATCACACCACTATGGACATTACAGGCAAGACGAGGATATGCTGAAATCAAGCGGGACCAAAAGCGTGGATAGAATGAGAAAGAATTTGATGTGTTGCCTTCATAGTACAGAGGTACGAACAGACTGCCTCCAGTGGCACTGGAATTCACCACCAGCCCTCACTCTCTTCGTTGTTTTCTCTCAATCACTAAATAACTTTATTATAAAGTTATAAAAATCAGTGTAAAAGATCAGGTCAGAAAAAGAGAAGCTGGGCACTGCAACCGACAGCTCAAGAGGGCCCGAGCTGCCCTGTGAATAAATGTTTATTCACAATCAGGTCAGAGCTAATTGATAAAAAGTCCAAAATAGTGGTGGCAGTGGATGCAGCTGAGAGTGTTCAATCACAGTCTGTGCTACTCCAGTTTGAACTCTTGCACAGCTGCTCGTTTCCTCTCTTCTTCTGTAACAGGCATCCAGGGAAAGTGAGGTGGTGCCACTGCATTAGGAAAAATTCACCGTAACATTTTCTTTAAACTTTTTCCCTTCTTTTTTAAAGAAAGTTCCTATTATCCAAAAATTTCCATTTACATTAACAAAAGGCTCCACCTCAAACAAATCATAAAGAGTTTAAAAATATTTCTTTTTAGAACATATATACACATCTTTTTTGTCTTAGGGGAGTAAATTGCCATTTAACACGATTCCAGAAAATCTAAAATTATATCCAGAAATCAAGAGCAATACTGAATTTCCACATATCTTGCTGATACACTGGTAACGGCATAAAACAAACACATCGGTGCCGTTGCCCTTAAAGCACTGCCCTGATCCCTTCTGTGTGCCTTCAGACTATGCTGAATTCACATGCATCGTGTCTATGTGCACAGATTAAATAAACTGGGAATAAACTACGAAGGAATAAGAGAGGATCTTGTTGGCTAGATCATCAGCTGCACTTCAGCGCAGAGCAGCGCAGATGAGATTTAACACACAGCAAGTCAAGCTGCACTGGCTTTGTTGCTGTTGCAAGACTCTGTAAAGTGGGATCTTGTAATTAGAAAAAAGAAAGCACTTAAGTTTCACTGTCGGTGTGCTCCGTAAGAGATTTTGGTCCAAGATAAGGGATGAGCAATCTAAAATTGTCCAAGTTTAAATTTTTTATTAGCTTGAGGCAGTAGAATCCAAAAAAGTGCCTATTCCCTCATTAACCCAATTCAGCAACTCTCCTGCAGTCTGCCACCCACCACTTGCTCGGATTTCCTACACAAAGAGCTGTCTCTGCAAAGGCAGGTCACAGCAAGCCCGGCTACGAGGCAGGCTCTGCTGCAGTCTTCCAGGGAAAAAAGGATGTGTCCGTCACAGCTACAACCCTCATCATCTCCACATGACTGCACCAGCTCCTGCCTACCTAATCTCTTAGCTGAGTTACCATGCAGATGACTTGCTGATCTCTTTCTAATGTTTAGTTTAACATGTCTTCGGTTAGCACTAGCATATGACAGTACTGACAGCCGTGGCTGTTCCTTTTTAAATATCATGTCAGCAACACGGCGCAATAAAGCTGGGGATGCGCTCCATGGCTCTGCGCACCATTATGATAGGATGGGTTTCTTTTTTAATGAGGAAGATCTGCATCTCAGGAGCTTTTTTCATGTGTCAGGATGCATGGACAAATCAGCAGCACATCACACTGGCCAAAAATGAAATGCTGACAAATGTAGATATTTCAAATTTAATTGACACCTAAATGTACTTGAGATAGAAAAAAAAAAAATATATATATATATATACAGAAAATGTGGGTACAGGATATGGGAATTAATAAGGAGAATTCTATAATTTTAAAAGATATTTTGGTTATGAGAAAATTAAACTTGTGTATTTTATTAACTGCCTTGCTTTTTCCTGATTATAGAGATTATGGTACAAAGGGGTAGTAGGGACTTGTTGTCATTATTCTCCTAAAAAGGGCTTCCCAAATTTGAGGGAGGATTTTTTTGCTATTAATATTTTTTTTAAAGGCTAGCTATACAGCAGCTCTAGGGAATTAAGGAATTTGTCCCTCTTAGACAGTAAAATGAAGAGAATGAGGGATTTGAATGCACAGGCTTTTTCTTGCCAGTATGAAATAGGAGACTTGGGACCGAGGGGATTACCTAGTAACTATTCAATCTGAACAAAGCACAGACCTATCACTGGAATGCCTTCCTGCATATTCTGAATACTCAGTACACCCCAGTGTGAGCTAACAAAAATATTAAAATATCTGCTTGATTTTTCAAGTGTCACTTCATATACTGTGAATGTTCATAGGAGCAGAATATTTCCAGAAAAACAAAAATGTTGGCATAAAGGATATTTTAAATCAAAACAACAAAAAACATTCCTACCACAAGTCATCCAACCAAATAATAAAAACAACAGCTTGTGATCACTACACCCAGTAAAGGCAGGTTACTAATTGTTTTACAGTTTTTTATGAACTTTTTACAAATTTTCTGGAGAGTTGGAAATATAAACAAAGAATTTAAAGTGGGAACAAGCTGGACGACACCTCTGCCTGCTCTGACAGATCTCAACGCAAGACTCCACAAAGTCATTCCATGATTTTGTCCAGTACTGAGGATCTCCTCCCCAACCTCCCTGCAGCTATCACATCTATACATATCACAAACCAACCTGCATTCACTCAGCAGGTTCACTCCAAAGCAGGCAGCAGACACAGACCCCACAATTAAAGTTTATTTTAAACCATCCCCCCGGAAAGGCGGGAGAGGCAGGAGGGCCAGGGTGCCTGCCCTGTGCTGTGCTTCTCGCTGGGCAAGCCCTGCAGCTGAACCCGACAGCTCTCTGCACATTTCCCTCCTGTTCGCTCTCCCTTTGCTGGGCATCTGCTTTCGTGGTGCCACCTTCCTCCTACTGAGCTTCCTCAACACCAGTTTTCCCCAGGTAAAGGGACCGAAGCACACACAGCGAGCCTCTGATTCCAGCCATCCTGGTTCGTACGGGCGCTTGCTGGCTTAGCTTCCTTCCTAAGCCGAGATCCTTGCTTGCAGGGATGCAGGGAAAACCTTTACCATACAGCAAATTCTGGGTGGCAGAGCTCTGTGGTTTAACGTGCCTTGTGAGCCTGGATCATGCCAGGCAGCCACCACGCTGACTTCACACTGAATTCAGGGGAATAACCCGCTAGCGCACGGCAGCCCATTGCCGTTCATACCATACACGGGAAAGCCATTAGCTTCTCTGCTAAGTCCAAAAAAAAAAGCCGTAATGAACTGCTGCAGCACTGACACGGCTTTAGCCAGCCCAAGAGCCTTTTGACATGCTGTTAATTGTGAGCCTGACCCTCTGATTTCCGATTTTAATTTCCTCCCACTCTGCATGCCCTGGAAGGCAGCTAGTCAGTACTTACAGAAGACAGATCCTAGAGCACTCTGGAAGCCTATTCTACAGTTAATAGGAAATCTTGCTGTGGTGTAAAAGTGAGCTCTCAAAAAACTGCCTATCTGTTAAAAATGCAACATCTTATTTCTGAGAACAACTAATTTGTGTTTAAGGAGGCTTGTCCTGCGTGTCTAGGATTGCCCCAGGTGGTAATCCAGCATTTTCTGAGCTCTCAGCTACAAATTCTTCCTGTTACCTTATAACTAAAAAGCTTTTTTTGAAAAAATTATACATTTTAGATTTAATTACAATTACTTAAGAATCATAAACCTTGAATTATTGATAAAATTGTAAAAAAAAACCCCTTTTCTATTGAAATAGAAAAAAAAATCACTGAAATTTTTGATGGGGGAAATAATGGTTCTTCTACCATCTCTTCTAAATATAATGGTTTAACAGACACTAGCAACAACCTTGGGTGTTCTTTGAAGTCACTGTCCCCACTCACCTGTGTTTTAATTGAAGACTGATTAGAAAATGAGCACACATACCTCCAAAACAATGCTTTTCTTTTATACAGATTAAAAAAATTAACTCATGTAACTGAAGATACAAATTCCCCAATATCATAAGAGATGCAGTAATAAGCGTAACAACTGCAGGATGCCTACGTAACGGGTTGATTTTCAGAGATGCCAGGCAACACCACAGATGAAGAAGAGGCTGCCCTGGGACACGCGGTGTCGGGCTGGTGGAGGGGCCAGCGGCACGCTGCCCGAGGACCCTGTCTCCACTGGCTGGAAGGAGAACGCGAAAGTCACAGTCTGAGCTAATGAGTCTGACATCCTGGGAAACGCCTCTGAAACCTTCATGGAATCATTCAAGACCAAAAAGTTAGGGTTAGTTTTAAATAGAGAAAAAACTTCTCATTGAACAGAAGCTCCTCCTCACAGACATACCCCAGGTATGAGCACCGGAGAGACGTAACACTTTGTTGGGAACCAGTGCAGTTCAGCTGAACATTTTGGTTAAGGGCAGTTTAAGAGAAGCACCCTCTCGCTGTTGCCGCTTTCACGGTATATCCTCCCATCTGCAATAAGGGTACTCCAACAGTACAAAGGAACATGAGTAAAAATAGATATTGTGATGTTTTCATTCATTTTAGTATTACCCAAGAGAGAAAACAATGCAAATTTTTTAAATAGACAACATGGGTTTATATTTTCATTTCAGAACAATATAGGGCGGCACAGAAAAAATGTGGAAAATGTCATTAAAATCCTGTCTTTAATTACTACTTAAAAAAATATTTTTCCTTTATTGAGAATGTCATTTTGAGGTAAATAGTAAGGAAAAAGGTCAAGATTACTGAGTCATTACCGATACCAAAGGTATTCACCTGAAGGTACTTCTCAGGTAAGCCATTAATTTGAGTGTTATTTAAGGACAAGGTTAGCTACTTCCTCACAACTCACAACTGTGGTGTCAGTGTCGTTGTTGCGTGTTGTGTGTCCTGTCTCCCCACCCCACCCAACTCGTTTTTATTAAAACCCTCTAACCAGACACCTTACAGGAGATGTGGTTGGGTGCAATGTTCTACAGTTACCTGGCTGGAAGTAGTTATGTCAAAGTGTGTTTTGCCACCTGAAGCTGATGACAGGAAAGAAGGGAAATACATCAGCTCCTGCTGTGACACTGCATTTGAACTGGAGAAAATACTGATGCTGTGAAACATCAGGAAGAGTCCACAACTGGCACCATATAGCTCTTCTTCCACATTGAAAAGATTGAAAAATCTATCAGTAAAACACTCATGAAGAAAAATAAATCTGTTTACAGCTACAAAGCATCTTCATTATCTTCTGTAATTTACTGTCAATCATTTTCACAAAAAAAATGTTCATAGTGCAATTTTCTGTGACAGCAGCCGAATTGTAAAGACTCACTAAAATTAACAGCAATAAACTAAAATGAAGTAAAATAATAATTGTAATTCAATATGTTACTAGCATTAGTATAAATGCATTTAATTTATATTCTGATACTGGCAGGAATTGAAAATACGTATCAGCAGTAAGCCACACTGTAATGTCAAGCAGGTTTTGAAACCAGACACGCATAATCCTTCATACGAAACACATATAATGGTTAAATTGACTCAATTGTCCTTCACCTAGATGAAGTGAGCATCGTATTAAATATTAAGAAAAAAATTTTTATTTTAAAAATTCCTGTAATCTTGGTGCAGGGACAGCTACCACCCTGGAACGGCACAAGCCCTTTTGCAGGATTTGCAGTCTGCTCCACAAGAGGGCAACCAAATTCCACTACAATAAAATAGATAAATAATGTAGAACTTTAAAGTGACCATTCATTTTAGCTAAAAGCCAGAATATCTCTCCATCCTACAGCGGCTGGGAAGGGGTACATACGAGGGAAAAAGGTGTGTTTAGAGAAACCAACCATTTCTCTCTTTATGGGATTCTCGTATCTTCAGATACAACAAATATCCTGTAACCTTGGGCATCAGCTAAAGCATTTCACTCTGCTGACAATAAAGCCACCACAGGCTGGGACACAAACAGAATGTGAAGCAGCCATGACACAAGCAGTTAGCTTGTGCTGCAGGTAGAGGTGAACGCCAAGGAAATCTCTCTGTCATTAGATCAGTGCAACCATCCCACGGCCCTGAGCCTTCTGGTGGTGGTCTGAGAGTAGTTCCAGTGCGACTTCGCACCCTAAGGCTGCACTGCCACGAAAGGGACATTTGGAAATGCTGCTCCACTCACTGTTCCAGGACAGCCCCAAAGATGCTTCACGTGTGGAGAAACCAGTTTAATCTTGCCACGTGACCTGGGAAATGTATCCTGGCTCTGCTGCCTGCTGCTCCCACCTCACCGCTGGGCTGTCTCCTCTGGAGTGCCCAGCAGGTCTGTCCCTCCTCTAGCCACATTTTTCACACCACCTTCTTCTAAGATCAACCACCCCAGGCAAAACACACCGCTCTGCCGCTTCCCAAACTCTGAACTGAGAGGAGGCAGCCTGCCTATTCAGATGTTTAAGAAGAGCAGCTGTTACCATCTCCGTACCCAACCAGAACCTAGTGCTGTTGAATCTTTTGTACTTCTGAGCAGCCGCAGTAGCTACACTCCCAATAATCCACATAATTTTTAACCCAAAATGCATATCGATGCAGCCCACATGTGTATTTGTCACACACAACCGTGTCTTTTGGGCTATGTTGGCAAGGTTCAATATATCCATTCTCTTTTTAGGTTTTCACTTGATAGCCTGTTGTTAAACTCAACTATGGCAACATGTTAAGAATATCTGCAACAATAAACAGTATTGTCTTCTTTGTAGAAAGTACTTTAATATGTGACATTCATTAAACTCTCTAAAAAAATCTCTCCAAGGTAACGGAATATACTGTTCATATGAACCAGAGAGATGGTGGAAACCAACACACTTTACACATGAGCAGTAGGCTAGAGCACTACAACTCATTTGGAATATTGCCCTTGTTTACATACAGTCAAATCTAAAGAGATGAGAAATTTGCTAGTACCATGCAAGCCAGTTAAGCTCTACGAGCCTTCACTATAGAGCTCATTACAGATTTTCTGCTAATGAGACTTGAACAAGCATGAGACACGAACCCTACTGTGATCACTAGAGAACAAACAATTCTGTATCTTCCAGGTAGAGCCTGGCAAGAACAGGGAATTTGCATGGATATGGCTAAAAATTTCATTTAAAGCATTTTTCAAACCAAACCAAAACAACAAAAATAAAAAAACCTCCAAAACCTGAAAACTTTTGCTGATCAGGTTATGTTTAACTTGGAAAACCAGAATTTTCCAATAACTAAACTTTGGTTTCTTGCTTTTTCACACCTCTTCTAAAGTGCTCCAAAAATTAAAAAACTTTTTTTTTTTGTTAGTTACAAAAATTACTTTGATTTGTAGTATTTTTTAATTTCTCCTTTGCCTAGATCCAGTTCTGAAAGCACTGTTTGTTGACAACAACGCAACCCGAGAGAAGCAGAGCAGCAAAGTACTTACTGTTCTGGACTAGAAACTGAAGTCCTTCGTCCTTCCACAGCAATGTTGCTCTTGGGTCTCTTAACAACATGCGGTCTTGGCGGGCGAACCTATCACATACACACACAGAAGACATTTCATCAAATACGTCAAGCTGATAAAACACACAGACCAAAATAACAACATATGCATAACCACCGTTATCTTAAAGGCATCTTCCATTCAGAATTGCTTTTAAATTATTTTTTTTTTTGTGCCACAACAATGTTACAAATTAATATAGATATGCAAATGAAGAAGTACGAATATAAACTCCAGGGACCCAACAACTTATTTAAGGACAAAAACCCTCATGCTTTTGAACAGCAAATGAAACACGTATGCCTGTCACTGACTTCTAGCTATTAGCAAAGCAACGAAAATTTGTTCCACTGTCCTGGTCGGTACAGGCTAAATTTCTGACAAAAGATTCGCTAAATGTGAGCTTCCCCTGTACAGTCAGTTGACAGAGTGAAGTTGGGCAACGCTGGGTGTTGCCGTACATGAGGCTGGGAATTGGAGTTCAGCTCCTTTTGTCCACTTGTTCATAGGATCCCCACTTCTCAAGTGAAGACTTCTGCGTAAGTGAGCACTGAAAAATTTGTACTTAGAATAAATGTTACAACATAAAAACATAGCTCATTCTTCATTAAAAATTTGTTTCCTTTCAGCAGCCTAACAGAATCCCTTGCCAGACATATTATCATTCTCACCCCTGATGTTAGGTTAGGGTATCTTTTCTTGTCCGTAACAAAATCCAAAGCTTGTCTGTGGAAGATGATGTTGCTGCCACTCCAATCTTTAATAACACATCCATCACCTTCTAATGTGCAGAAATCAAGCTTAAGTTACTTGCATTAACTCCAGAAGCAAACAAGCGTTACTTCAAGGAAAAGAATAAGCACACGTGATCACTACGTAGGCCAAGTTTATGCACGTGCCTACCTACGCTAGGGAGTAAGCCGCTGATGAACTTACCCCTTGAGCCAAACGTGGGAACGAACGGTAGCAGCACTGGGGTCAGGCTGTACACAGAAGCTTTCCATTTTTTGTCCAGAAAGTACTACCTTACCTGAAATGCAGTCTGATTTGCTGGCGTAGCTGAATGCCAGTTTCAACAGAAATCTCCAAAGCCCCCGAGTAAAGTCAGGAACACAACTCAACTCCCGACCTGCCTGAGCTCGTGCTCCCTTGACAGCCACAACATAAAGGAAGCTGTTAGAGGCCTGCAGCCCAAGTGCTTTTTGGATAACTAATGAATTCGTTTGCAATGACAGAATAGATGCAGATTTCCCTCCAACTCTCTCCAACTCTGCAAGTTCTGTTGGGTTTTTGGTTTTATTATTTGCGGGGGGGGGGGGGGAAAAAAAAACTCCCCCCCCCCCCCCTCTTTCTTTCCTTCTCTGCAGGCACATAAATCTCAAATTTTCTTGCCAGGAAAAGGCCACCAAATTGTGTGCAGTGCTTCTGCACCACACAACAGTATGCAGAAGATAGCAGCAGGATTATTGTACTGAATTTTCATTTCAAAGGAAATGGTGTACAGCAGATATGATGAAGAAATCCAGAGGTGTATTGCCACTATTTCTTAGGAAAAAGGGCTTATAAAAAGGTCAGATGTTAAGGTCTCGAAGATCAGTCCCCACACAAGGCTGCTCCTCTCTACAATAAAGACGGCTTAAGAATGCGAATTTATGGCAGGAATGGAAGGATTAAGTTTGTGGCAACTTCAACTGAACTTGCAACGTGGTGAAACATGGGGAAAAGAACAACAGAGCTAATTAGACGAGCTGAGCTGTCAGAGTGCGGCTGAATGGCTCGGTGCCAACAAACAAAAGGAATGGGCTGGCAATCAGCAGGATCGATGAAGAATACTGCTTCATTAGGGTTGATAAAACAGGGAGAGAGAGAGCCAGAGAGAGCGAGTGTGTGCAAGAGAGGGGGGAGAGAAGCGAGAGGAATTGGGGGGGTGAAGAGAACAAGAAGGAGAAAGAGAAAAAGAGAGGAAGAAAGAAACCTGTTTAATTAAATCTGAGCTGGAAGATGATGTGTAAAGCTGGCTTGTCATCATGCTGTGAACACTTTCACCTTTTGGGTGGTACCCTGGGGGAGTGATGGTGATGAGGGAGAGAGATGAGAGTTTTGGATGGCTCCAGGGGGTCACCAGACCAGTAAAGTGCAGGGTGACATGCTAAGGAGGATTTAGAGCATTGTTCACGTGGGACTGCCGGGAAACGCCAGGAATCTCGCCAGTTCCTTGCTGGATTTTGAGCCTCATGGAGCCACACAGACAAGGTTAAATGCTTATCAAATGCAAAAGTATGAAAGAAATCCAGTTACATGAGCACACAACCAAAAGAATAAAGGTAAACATCCAGTACAGAAGGGTTAAATGTGCTTATTACTGTCCCCATCAGCTCTATGCATAATTATTATATTTTAACTTTTTCTAATTGAATGAAGTTTCCAAGCAGCCATTATTAATCCAAACAGATTTCTATTAATTATGAGCAACAACCCTCTCTCTTTCATAATACCACCACAACACATTTCCAAAACAGCAGAATATAAAGAACATATCTGTTCTGCTTCCTTAACCTTTCTTTGGTCTGTGTTTTTGTTTTTATTACTCATCGTGGCTCATATTGCAAGGACTAGTGCCCATGGGTTCCTCCTCATAGCAGATATACCCTGAAAACAGGATTTCTCAGGAATTCCCATATTACATGGACTTGGTTGGAAGAGCAGATGGACCTGGTCTCCTCTTTCAGTGCGTGCTGTAAAAGGCTAGGATAAATTATTTGCCGATACGCACCTCTGTAATATATGCCAAGACTACAAGAGGGAAAAAGCAGCCTGCACAAAGTATTATTTACACACACAAAAATGTGTTTCAACTATTAAAAGCCAAATAACAGTTCTGAACAACAACAAATTTATGTATATTTGGTACAAGCATATTTTTGGGAGTGATTATAATAATTTACATTTATCTTGAATTTCCTCTTGATGAATGAAGCATTTCTGTTCCACTTATTGACACAGCTAGATGAATGCAACAGGAGCTTTTATTATTCCATTTTCAACCTTTTATCAATCACATTGGGAGCAAAGACAGTTGACACAAACACATTACAGTTAGGACTGTTAATGCACTACAGCTGGGAGATTAAACAACCTTAGCAAGACTTTGATGTAATAAATTACTCAATGTGAACAATACTGTTCAGCGACTTTTGTACAGAGGACTCAATGTGCCCTCATACACCTGCCAAACACAAAAGGAGAGGCTATGAGGCACTGTGGGAATCCAGAGTACCGTGGAAACTTTGTTCCTAGTGTAACGTACCTGGGAGGGTCTCCCATACCAATCACATTGAAGAGAACACATACAAACATAGTCAATGCTCTATTTGAAACACAGAAAACAGAAATCTTCAGTGCAGGAATCCATAAAAATGACTGTGTTAAGCTAAACACCCAGCGTTAAAAAGAGGGAGGAAAGAAACACATGCTATTGAAATGTAACACAGGAACATGCATCAAAGATCAAAAGGTAACACACACCCAAGTGCACTTGTTAACCAGTTGCCTGCTCATCCAAAACGTATTTTCAACAAGTTTTAGCAAGATTAGATTTGAAAACTTGCATCTCTCTTTTTCTTATGCACATACGTATGTATAAGGAAGCAAGGAGTAAGTTGTATTTGCCTTTTGGGGGAATTATATTCATAAAGCAAATGTCATGAGTAGAAATAAATATTTTCCAAGGCTGTTACAAAAACAATACTCCTTCTAAACTGACACCACTTTCCTGTATTACTGAAAAAAAAAAAGTCACTGGTGCAGGTCCAGCACAATCTCCAGTTTTAAAGCCATCTGGGATAGCTGATATTGTCCTACAGTTAGCGTTTTCAATGAAAATCTGCTGAGATGAGGTATCCCTGCCTAATACAGCATAGGTATTATTGCACTGAGAATAATTTCTGTGTGGTTCTTCTATGGAAGAGTCACCTCCTGCAGCCAATATACTGTGCCTACATTTTTACACTATGCAATTACATGGAGTCCCAGCTTGCATTTTAAATGAACATAAAGTATATATGTATATCATCCATAATGTGGTACTAATGTTCTACTGCCCAAACACAGACATCACCTTCTTCATGTGTATTCACTCATCTATTCCATGGAGAAAAATTAACTGTCCCAAATTAATTTAAAGCATAACTTGCAGAGAATAAATGTATTCTCTTCAGACTTCTGCTTCCTTTCATATTTGAGTTTAGTGCAAGTCTTCAAAAGCTCACTGGCTAAAAACTTACACCGGCCTAGCAAGACTTTTTGTTTAAGAAATCACCGCAAAACAAACGTTGCAACAGCAGCATCAGTTACCTGCAAACTGACTGAAAGCTGCAGAACTCGTCAAAGAAAAGCAGAATAAATGCAGGTCCCAGGGCTGTGCCGCAGCAGAGAAGAAGGGAGTTTAGGAGCACAATTCACACATTGCTTTTTTGCAAAGTTTGACAATCCAGACTACCGAGGTTTAGTAATGCTACTAAGAGCACAGTTCAGGCAGTGTTAAGCTGTGGCAGTGAAACAAAACTACCAGCTACTCACGGGCCTAGATGAACGCTGTATCTTTGGAGGTGGCGGCCGAGGCGGACGGAGTCTTTGCTGCTGTATCAAAGTGGAAACTAAATTAAACAGTCACCTACACGAAAACACCTCTGATTTCGTGGCACGAGCAGTATGAATGCATGGCAACACGTGATTTACCTTAACATCATACTCACCTCACAAAAATACAATTTAATTTTTTTCCCCAAAACAGTGACAAATCTCCTGACCTACAAAGTGCCACAATAGGAAAGGCAGCTGTATCTGCCTGTTGACACAGGCTTAACATAGCTCATGCTAAACCAAAGGCAGCACAATCAGCCCTCCTGACCACATCATCCAAAATTTACCGAGACAACCAAGATGCTCAAGGTGGATTCTTGGACCTCTATGTCCAAGTGTTCTAGACAATACTTATGCAAATGGAAAGAATCCTGCAAAGTAGAATATTCAAAAAAGCTTTCACTAAAATCTTAAGACGCTTATTTTGGTTTCTCATTTTTTAAATTAGCAGTTGGCCAACTCATTGCTTTGTAACAGCACTGGAGCTATTCCAATGCAGTCGCTTTTGACTGAGCCAGCAGCACGACTCTCCTCACACAGATGGCATCTGAAGGTATAGTCTGTTAGACAAGGAATCCACTAACAATTATCAAAATTCTAAATAAACCATCCTACAGTAAAACTTGGCTATTGAGAACACAATCACAGTCAACGTCCTTTCTGTGCAGCCCGTGTACAGGCACTAGCACCTCAGGAGAGCAGAGCCCCACACGGGAATGTCCTGGCCTGACGACAACTGCATCGCTGCCCCCAGCCCACGGTGCCTTCCACAGACAAAACCCCGTCATCCGGACAGAGGGGGAAGAGGACCTGGCAGTGGCAGCCAGCTGCTCCAGACAGAAGAAAGCTCACACAGATTACTGTGTTTCTCTCCAAAAAAGGTTCCAGATTCCTATCTCAGCAGTTCTTCACTCCGTACGAGCACAGTCCTCTCTCAACTACCCTCACATCCTGTAATGGTACAATTCCAGCCTACCCTTTTTCACACCATTTTCATTCTCTTCTTGCATCTCTTCAGACTTTTCTTTCAAATTTCCCATTAAATCATGCTTTTGCATCTGTTGTTTCACTTCTCCTTACTTGTGTTGTCAATGAAGGGGTGCCAGACTGTACACACGTACTTGGCTCAGCTTTTTGGGGTGGGTGAGGAGAAAAAAAAAAAAAAAAGGACACTTGGGATGGAGAGCTGAGGCCAGAATTATTCCCTGTGATAGCTTTCCTCTGTATTTTCCAAGAAAGCAAGTATGAAAACAAAGAACAAAGAGAGAAATGACAAGGTGGAGAGCGGAGGTGGCTGCCATTAGCCCTACTGAACTGCTGCTCTTCTGCACCTTGTATTACTCTGTTCAGTCACAGAAGCTGAGTTATGCTGCTTTGTATCTTCCCGTCTTATCTGCTCAGGCTGAGAGCACAATCTTAAAATATATTTAACTGCTGTTATATGACATAGCATACTTATTTTCCATTATGTTTCAGAAGCATAATGGAAGAGCTGAAAAATCTGAAACTTGCACTTTTTTGTATTTACTTAAAAGACATTCCCTTACAACTACTAACTTAGGCAAAGTATTTGATGAAGCAGAAAAACAAGATGTAATTATTCGTTTACTTATTCAAAAATTTTTATGCCTCCTGCATATATACTCCCCTTTGCTATTTTTTCTCTTTTACTTACCTAGAAATTGTGCACACTTCTACCTTCGCAAATTCTCAAGTAGGTTATTTAGGTGGGAAATTTAAGCATTTTCCTAAAGCCATGGCTAGCAGTGTCTTGAGCACTGTTTATTTTCCATTACTATGTTAATTCAGGTCAAATGTGTTTTTATTGATATAAGAACTACAAGGTGTTACTTAACATGTTGATGTTATAATTTCTTCAGTATTAGTTCATATCACTGAATGTGGTTTTTTTGTTTCAAACATCATACTACAGCCCTGGAAGTTTTTTTGATTTAGGAATCAGTGTTCCCTTTGTATAGCAGAAGCCAGGCTAATTTCTGCAGAAACACTGTAGGACTGGAGCACCAACAGTATTAGCTGACAAACCAATGGCGGCATTGTTAAAGCTTCCAGAAAAAGTGTGACAAAGGCAGACCCTTCAGGGAGGAAGACAGACAGACAACACAGTAGCTGAGGATTACCGTGCGATGGTCAATACATTGATTATTGTCCCTGCAAGGAGACGTACCAACTTAACTTCAGTTACCCACCCATGCACTCGCCTGAGGAAAAGTCTTTTTCTGAGAAATGTGTGGCAGGATTTGTTAATTATCTGCCACATCACTATTTGATTAGACAATGGCAATAAAACCAAGTTTTAAATATTTGAAAAATATGCTTTGTGTATTGGCACCCTCCTCAGCTGAATGACTGTTGTGAGCTGGAGAATACCCATACACAAGTCAGAGTCACAAAGAGGCAGAGCTTTAGATATTCCAGCACAATGTGGAGGAGGCTTAACAGGACTACCATCTCACTGCATACTCCTTGCCTGCAGCCAAACCACACAGCACTAATATTTTACCCCCGTTAGTCCTAATTGACTATCAATTACAAGTCAGACCTTAAAACACCAGGATGCTGGCCTAGAACTCGAAATCGCACACACACTTTTTTTTTTTTTCCCCTTTTGGTCTCTGAGTGACAACTGTAACAATGAAGTACTCCTTTGCAGGAGCTAACACTTTCATAACCTTATCCTGTCACTGCATTATTTTTTCCAGCTGACATTTAAATATCATATATGATTAAGCTTCCATCTCTGATCAAAAAAATAATTTGATGGTGTTTCCACAATAAAGACACACACAAATGCTGCTTTGAGAAAAGGTTAAAAGCTGTAGAAACTTTTGCGTCTCCTGGACTTTTAAATGGGCATCATGTCACAGTTCTCAGTACTTGTAACAACACAGCCAAACCCAACACTCAGATTCAGATTTATCTTATCCACTGAAGTGCTACCAGAAATAAAGTTCATTCTGAGGTCTTGTAAGCATTGCACCACATACGACATTTCTGAACCCCAAAGAGATCCGAGCAGAACGATAAGACCAAACTACATATTGACAGTAGCACGTTCTCTCCATCAAATATGGACAGGGAAACAGTATGGCTTAAATCAGCGTTGTAAAGCACAGAAAAGAGGCAAGGGGCAGGGAGGAGTAACTGACGTGGAGACCCACCAGGAGATATCAGCTATTTGCCCTCTACCAGAGTTTCATTTTTAGTGTTGAGGTTACTACCTGTCACCAGAATGGGATAAGCAAGTGTACTCAAACTACATGAAGACTGTATTTACGGGAAAAGCCACTGATTTGAAGTTAATTTGTTAATGCAGCAAAACACACTGTTTCTGAAAGGTCAGTAGGGGAAGCTGTGTTGGAATATCAACGTAATTACCTGTGCTGTAAGGATGAATGGGTACAAACCAGCACATGGCTATATCGCTAAAAGCTGCTAAATTGCTATTCTAGGTACGTTCCTAAATGTATACAATACAGCTTTTCCTAGGAAGGGAAGAAACGTCTAAATTAGCACCTTCCTACCAATAGCTGTTGACCAGCACACCTTTTAATGCCAGATATTTTCTTAATTGTCTTGTTCTAAATACTTCTGAAGCAACAAGACACAACATTTGCAGAAAGCCAGATCTGGCATTGTTTTACTAATTATCAGACAAGTGATTTCAAGCTATGAGATGCTGGAAGAAGAAAAACCTTCCATTCACTTTTACACTGTAAAAATACTGTTTAAAAATTAGAGATCCCACATCTCATAGGAGCTGTTATATATCCAAGGAAGTTCCACCACACAGCTATTGAGGTTTTTTATACTAGAGAAAACATTACAAAAAATCATTTTTTGTCTGCGAGGTAGCAGCTCATGAGCAGAATATTATCTCAAACTAATTGTGGATGTCTGTTGAGATTATTTTTAAAGTGGGATTCAAAACGGAGCGCTTAGGAGTAAATTAGAGGTTCTATTTCATGTGCAGCAACAAGTGCAACCAGAAAACATTCATAAGGGAAACACAACTAGATGAAAACTAGTTTGTTAGTTCATATAGAAAGAAGTGTTTCTCCTTCTCAATTAGCAGAGAGGGCTGTTTCTAATAATTTCCAGCACAAAGCTTTTCTCCATGAATATCTTATTTCCTTCAGAAATTCAGAACTGGTTTAAAAGCTACTAGCATGTTTTAAAGACAGCCAGCCTGGGAGAGAGATGCATGTCGGAATGTACCCGTGCTCAAACACCTCATGCTGCCAGAGAGCTGAAGTGCTGACTTTGGAAGAATATGCTGGACCTCAACTGAACACTCAATAAAAATTTTTTTAAAAAAGGAGAAAATAACCACACTGAAAAATGTATGGTACCTAAAAAGATTCAGTACAGCAAGCAGACGGAATCTATGAGGCAGCTGTTTTATTATTCACCCAGATCCCTGCACAGGGCACACACTACTTTTTACATACTCCCATATGTACACCTCACAAACTGGGATGACAAGCACAGTGTATGCTTTACAGAATATATTTTTAATTTACACTCTGAAATACTTCAGCAGAAATCTGCTGGGTCCTGTGATAAAAATAATCTCCATGTTTTAAGGGATGCCTCATTCTTCAAGCCATGCTTGTAGATTGGGAAGGCAAAATGAATCTGGTAAAAATGCAGCAATGCCTATAGCTTTGCCAAGAATTTATGGAAGGGGCAGAGAGTGCCACAGTTAAAGACTCTCATTAGTTTAATGAGAAAAATAAGGACTATCTCCTTACCTTTCTAGCCAGGAATCTTCTGTCACATAACAGAGAAGTAGACAGTAAGAGCAGGAAACGAAAGGTAGGTGCCTATAAGCTCCTGCTTTCCCTAACACTGAATAAGGATCTTTATTCCAGGTGTCCAAATCGTATCTGGTGCCATGGGACACTGCCAGAGATGCACAGGTCTATCTCAAAGTCACTGAGAGGAAACTCACTCCTTACTAAAGGCGAAGAAAG